CCTTAAATACAACAAATTAGTTTTTCATGGCTTTTGAATTGCAGAAGAATGAAAGAATACATAATATATTTTATCATTGGGTTATTTGTAAAGTATATCTGCGAGGTTCTTCCAAGGTGTTGTATATAATTATATACTATTATGTATATCACTGGGAGGTTTTCTATTACATAAACACATAATTTATGTATCCATTTTATAACCGATGGAAATTTGTTAATTTTCAATGTGGCTATTAAGAATATGCTATTATGAATATTCAGTTGTGAGCCTAAACATATTCTTGGGGAAGGGGTATCATAAACTTAAAATTACTATTTATTTGCTGAATTGCTCTGCTTAACTTTAGAAGGCAATGCCCACAGCTGTATATGGGACTTAATAAGTTTATTATCTTTTGTAAAAATAAAATTTTGGTTTCCAAGTTTCTCTACCATGTATTTATTCATTGGCAGTTTGATTTAAATTCTTTAATTATATATTTGTACTCTATGTGGATTAAGTTTACTTTTCTTTTTCTATTTTTTTGAGAAATATATTAGCTTGTTTGTTTTATCTTTCTTCTCTCTTACTATATTCATTTGTAGCTGAAATGTCACATTTAAACACAGCTTTTCTGAAAACCTCAAATTGTGTTATGCCATATATTTATGATCATGCAGTTTAGGTCATTTTATAGCTAAATGGATGCACATTGAGGACATACATGTGTATTTTTAAATTGTTTTGAGATTTGATCTGTAACCTAAAGTTATTTAGAACTGTGTCACCTTATTTCAAATAAAAATCAATAAATTATGAAACCTACAGTGATTAGAGAACAGTCTCTGAATAATTTCACATCTTTAAATGAATTGAATAATATATATTTTCAATATTGTTAAATATTTCATTTTATTAAGAAAGTAATATCCTCTATGTCAATGTTGGGCAAGTGTCATATCTGAAAAGGAACTCAAATTTGCTAATTATACTGTACACATATTACATATCATTCTTATTTTTTAATGTATTAGTTAATGAAAGTTAAAGTCACTTGCTGCTTCTATAGGTTATTTTCCATTATGTCATTTAATAATTTATTTATTTTGAAATATTGTAATTAAATTAAAACCAACATATCTTCTGGATTGAAGTATATTTCACTGTGGGGCAAAAATTGAGGCCTCTATAGACAGAAAAAAATAATTATTAACTTGAGTTCTTTATATAAGAGGATAATACTGTTGTTCCTAAATCTGAAATGTTTATTGATAGAAATGTAGTCTTATTTCCCTATATCATCATTACAGTCCACCCCTTTAAACAACATCATTGATGGTATGGGTGACTGATGAAGTGATGGACTGAGATGTACCCTGTGTACAGCCCCCAGTTCAATCCCCAGTCCAATAGCCTTGTGAAAACAGAGCAAGCACACCAACTCATTGTGACATATTGGGTGCTTTCAAGGAAAATAAAGCAGAATACCAGATATACTTTGAATAAATGATCCATACATAGTCATCAAGCACTGATCATCTCTCCATTGACAGTGCCATGAGTCCCATTCTGAATGCTACTCAATCACTTTGACAACTAGATCTATAGAAATCCCCATTAAAATCTGGTGGATAGTACTATCTGCTCTTTATCATAAAATGTACTAGTATGTTCCACAGCAATTAAAATATTATTTAAGAAATACTATTTTTTTGCTTTTTGTTTTTGTTTGGTACAGGGGATCGAACTCAGGACCTTATGCTTGAGAGACAGGTGGCGGCACCAGAAATATTGTTATTTTTAACTAAGACATCAGTGCCAGCATATGGTTTGAAAACAGTGTGGTAATAAATCAAGGTTAGAAATACATCAACATGTAATAGGGGAGTAAATCACATCTTACTTGGAATGGATTTGTAGAAACATTTAATGATTGATAGATTCTTACCCTGAACTTAGTCATATAAAAATAATTTTATGTTAAGAAACTTACGAACATGAAGTCTCCAAAATTAAAATTAACTAAGATTTGGAAACGGCAATTAACCTAAAAGATGACAATAATATTCTTCTGTAAGCATAACAATGTTTTTGTACATTAGTTTTAGACCAATTTTTTCTTAGCAGTGTACTGAAATTTATTGAAGAAAGCAAACAAGTAACTAGTTTTGAAATAATCTGTTGACCTTATCGCTGTTTTGAATAATAATTTGTAATTCTATTACAGTTAGCAAATGTTTAGGTGAAAATTTTCACGGGCAGAGAGAACTTTGAGAAGTTTAACTTTGATAAGGGTTAGATAAAAACACTGTCAGATGTCTGTGATAATGTTATCTAATAATATTGCTAAGGTAAGGACTGTGCTTTGATACTTATACTTTTCACTTGTTGAGAATGAGTTCTCATTCTAACCAAAATGTTATGATTTCTTTTGTTCTTTCTCCTTAAATTTTCATAGGGAAAATTAAACATCCAAATCTTTTTTGGTCAGCTCTGGTTGAAGAATAGAAAAGATAATTGCAGAAAAAGGAAAACATTTTAATACTATAGGCAACAAACTATGTTCAAATATCTTTTCTTCAGAAGTGCAATTTAGTTTTCATTCATATTTTTAAAAACTCAATATTTCAGTGAGCTATTAAAACTCTTAAGTTTCAATAACTAGCTGTATTTTCTTCAATTAGCCTTCTGAGGGAAAAGCTACAAGATTATGTTTATGAAGTGATTCAAAACTAATACTAAGTGCTTGTCTTGTGAGACATTCTCCACTGAGAGAATTATAGATGTGTGGAGGGTGGTGATATATAGGAATGTGGTACCAAATTCTATAGACAGATGTAGATGTATTGAGTAAGCCACTTAGAGCAATTGCCTTCAGTCTTTTCAGTGATAAGCAACCGCACATGGGAAGTGTGGATTTGAAATGAAAGAGCTTGGTGTAAATTTAAATCAAATCCAAAGGCTGACATTTACCTCATTTTGGTTGGACAGGAAAGAGATGTATTTTAGATTGAGAAACTTATTTAAATACTCAAGATGAGTTCTAAAAGATTTAGAAATTCTGCAACAGCATTTTCACTTAGATTTACTTTAAAATGATGAATTTGATGAGTATTTCATATATTTGTTTTTAGGATAATAAAAGTTTGATCATAGACTGAAGTATGTTGAGTGTGTGAGGATAAATTAGAGGAAAATCGTTTCACTATTTAATTATGATACAGTCAAGAAGAATACTCATGATTGGTGTGAGATGAGACTGGACAGTGTAATCATGAAAAGAAATCACTGAGCCTAATGACTAAAATGTGCAAAGAGATATAAATTGTTGTTCACAAAGCACTGTGAATTTCACCTTTGGATGAGGATTTATTTTCTTTTCGTTTTATATATATCGCTTTTTCAGTACAAAATGTCCCAATTGTTGTTTGATGGGTAAATCAAAACAAAGAAGGACAGTGAGAAAAAATAGAAATGTTAGCCGTCAAATATTGAGGGAATTGTAGCATGAGAAATTTCACCTAACCTTGAAAATATGTCATTAAGATAGAACTATATTCTACACTGTAACAAGTAGAGAGAGTTGATAATTTATAGTGTGCAGTGCCTACACAAAGAGTTGCAATTAGTATCCAAAAAAAATGGACACATTTCAGGCATGGAGGAATGCTTTCATGAGCTGTTCTTTCACTGTCATGATGAGGGTAGCTAAGGCCAGAAAAAATGGTAATGTTCAATACTCAACAGTATTTTTTCTTTAAAAAAACACATTTATTTCTAATTGACAATAACGGATAATGATGATTCGAAACTACTTGCTCCAGTTATTTGATCAAAGTGAGTGTATAAAATCAATTTTAACCTCGAAATGTCTGACAACAACAAGATCTACAGTAATCTCTGAAAATATTTAAAAAGTATGCTTGGTTGTTTGTTTGTTGTAGTAAAGAATATCCATCTCATCTTACTAAAAAAGTAGAGATCTCTTCATCTTTGGCCCTTGATAAATATTGTCTTGTGCTAAAGTAGTTATTGCTTCTTATCACCTTGTTTATCCAAAAGAATTACTGACTAAAAATAAGGACACGTCTTACTGAAAATAGTAATTGCGCATATTTAATATAAACTTCTTATTCTAGTCACACTCAAAAGGCTATCACTTCTGCTTTGCGTGAGTGGACATTCACAAAGAAAATTACCACAAATTTGAAGACCTATGAAGTTAATTGGCCACAGTTTCACAGATTCTGGCAGCGGACATGAGCTTCTCAGCTGTAGAACAAGACTCCATAACTCATGGTACAGTAGGTTACATTATTTTGTATTTACATTGTCTGCCACTCCCCTCTAATCTAAAGGGGTAACAGGAAAATGAGCCAAGGTGGACGTTCCATAACCAGTACTCCAGTAGCAACCAAAGAACTCCACATTTAGCAGCATCCATTGTCTGAGGCATTGACATTCAAACATATCCCTACTTTGCCTCAGAGAAAGACATTAACTTTATCGTACTAATCAAAAAATATGTCTGGTTTTTGACACCCATGATAGAGTATTTCTATCTTCCAAAGGTCTTAACTATACACAAAAATAATCATAGTTTATAATATTATGAGCGAGTATTTTCAAAACAAACAGGTCACAATATCTGAGGATCAACCAAGACATAGGAAGCAGAATTAAAGTGATATTCTGAGTAAAGAAGTCAAATACAGATCAAATATTATAGGGAAGAAAACCTCCCTTTAGCACTTAATATACCAATGAACACATAATTAATACCTTCTGCATGGTAGATTTCTTTCTATCATGTGCCTTTTTCCTAAAAAATTCTCTTACAGGAAGTTTCTTCTGCCTTTTGACCTTTTATTAAATTATTTAATCATAATTTTTCATAGACAGCATTTATATCAAAATATTTTTGACTAATACATGCAACCTATTATGCAGATACTTTAACCAAAGGATACTGTAAATTCTTTTTCAAAGTGCTTTTATTTTTCTTAAACAGAACACATTTCCTGGTAGACAAGCATAAACATTAAAGAATATACACAGAATAAAACAGATGAAAGATACAATAAATACTACAGAAGGTAAGATCTCATTAAGTCATGGGTTTCATCACTTTTCAAAAAGACTTTACCATTTACAAAAATCTGAAACAAGCTTTTATTTGTTCTTTTACAATTGTGCACGTTACCGATTTTTATTGGGTTGAACTTACTATAGATTTGTAGTCTCAACCAAAATATATGTTGTGTTTAACCTTCATCCATCTTATTGTAAGTTTTCCTCATGGGAGGCTGAAATAGATTCCCTGCGATTTATAGCCACTCTGTTCTTAGAAATAGAGGAACTGGCACAGTATACAGTCTCTCAAACATAACAGGATGGACCTAAAGTGAAACAAATCCACTGTCCCTATCAAGCAAGACTTTTGAGACAGTTCATGACTAATTGAAAGTTCCTCTTGCTTAATGTTTTTCTACTCTATGTTTGTAGGAAAGTGGATACACTTAGAGACCATAATTTATGTAAACTAAATCAGACACAAAAGCTTAAATAATGCATGGTTTCTCTTATATGAGAAACTCAAAATATAAATAAAGAAAAGAAATAACTAATAGGTAATAGGACATAGGGAAACAGATCTTTTGTAAAAGAACAGGGAAACAAGAGATGGCGAAAGGGGAGAAATGAGAGAGAGAAAAGAATTGAGATGTGTTGTATATGTACCAACATCCTATGAGGAATATAATCATTATGAACTGCAAACATGTACTAATAAAAATAAAAATTTAAGTATAATTAATGTAAAACACCTCACAATATTCTTCTTACTATTCTTCACAGACTGTACTGTGAGAAAATATGTAATATATTTGCTTTATCATCTTTCATAGGTTCTGCTGGAGAATTTGTGAAACAAATCTATCGCATTCAATAAATTCTATAGCCACAATGTTATGCTAAGTATGCTTATTTGTTTCTATATTAGTAGGTGATTCTTATTTTGGCTATTTGCTCTTGCCTCTAATCAAGAGAGTTGAAGAAAGTTAAAGTATTTTGCATTCTAACTTCTGAAAATATTGATATAATTAATTGTAGTTTGATTGACTTAATCATTGAAAAACTGATTATACCATCCACATGGCATAAATTTATAAGATAGCAGATCTTCTTTACTTTCAATTGTCTCAATCTGATTTTGAGTCTTTATTTATACCCCTTGAGAAATTTTTAGAGATCTCTAAATATATACTTCTGCATCAAACAAAGAAAATGTGATTTTAGCTGTTAGAGACAAAATGGGAAACAAAATAACACAACTTATTATTTGTGTTTACAAATGATGTCATCAGTCTTACTTTTTGTTTCTATCTCTTTTTCCACTTTCTCCTCTCACCTAATTTTTCTTTGAATGCTTATTCTACTTCAGTAATTAATTTTAAAATATTGTTTAAATACCTGCAATGTGTCAGACCATGTGCAGCATTATGAGAGTATACCATTTGGCCAACGGAGACATCATTCCTTCCTTCGTCCAGCTTTCATAATAGTTGAGGGAGGAGACAACGTATTTGAAATCAAAGAGTGCAATTCAGCGAAGCATGGGTGAGTGGTGTCGGAGCTCCATGTACAAGGTTTCAAAGTGCAGGAAGGGAGGGACAAGCTGAATCACGGAGACTGAAGAGTTCATATCCAACTCACCCCTTGTTTCTTCTTTATTCTCATATGATCCACTTATTTTGCCATTGATTATTGTCAACGTAAAATTTACATTTGTCTCTATGATGCAATCAAAAATTTAATGTTATTTTTTTGAATATTATGTCTGTGTGTATATTCATCATTCATTTCATATTCATTAAAATCCTGGAGTTTTCAGCCAAACAAAAAGTAGGCAATTCTCAAATTGTGATTAATTTAATAGAAACTTATATCTTTAAAGTGAGGAATTATAAAAAAAAAGTCAGATCTTTCCTCAGATGGGGAAATATGCATATCATGGATAGTTCATTTGAGAACTTCTGTTTCTTGTTGTTTTCAAAACTTGTACTATTACTAATCAATTCGAGCTGGAAAAAATTTAGCTTATTTGTCTGAAAAATCTCAAATCACTATGCACAATTCATGCAAAATAATTTGTTTTTACCTATAAAAGTGTTGCAATTTGTATCACATAAATAAGCAAAGTTGTCAAACATGTCATGCTGATATTATATTTGGCAGCAATCTAAATTTCATATCTTCTATTTTATAACTGTTATAGAACATCTCTCTTTGCACAAATCCATTTCAGTTTTGGATTAATTAAGAATATATAAAGTAGTTCATTAATATAATAATTTTATGCTTATCTAATATAATTAAATCATGATAATTAGTGGGATACTCAATTTTGCCTGAAGTTAATATGTTTTTCATTTTTTCTTTTTTGACTCTTGAGTCAGAAACATAAAGCTAAGTAAAAACTTTTGTAATTTCCCCAGTTTATTACCAAGATTCTGAAATGTTTATTGAATTTAAGATAATAAAGAAAGCCTATTCAGGAGAACATAACGCCCTTCATGGTGATATTTAATCCAATCAATATGCCATATTTGATAGTATTTTTCATAACCTAGTTTCTCATAAATTCTTAGCTTATAAACTGAAAAACAATTTTATTTCAATAGGCACATTGCTAACATTTTTTAAAATAAACAAAAAAATTTACACCACTTGTGCTCAATTTATTAATGTATTCATCAAGCAAATATCCATTTTGTCTGTTAGATATTGAACTAGATAATTGGATAGAGAAGAAAGTAGAACATGTCCGTGTTTTGATTTGATTTAATACAAATTCTAAAAGAACAGGCAAAAATAGAAAAAGTTGAGTATACGAAATGTGGTCATGGATGTGTGTACATGTTACTTCAGTAAGAGAAAAGGATGGTACCCTGTCTTCAGCTGAGTCCATTGTTGACAGAATTTTCCATAGATGATTGTTTTAAAGCACAATCCTACAGTTTTGAAACAGTTTGTAAGAAGTACCAGGTAGGAGTGAATATTATAAGAGGATGGCACACAAAACACAGACATCTAAAAGTGTGTGTTATTCAAGCAAATGCAGTGAGCAAAGTATTGTTTGAGGAAAAGACAGTAAAGAGTATAGCTTGATAGTACACCTAGAGATCAATTGTTTAATGCTAAATTTGAAAGTGGTACTGAAATATAGAGGAGTGGAATGTGGTTTGAACCCTGCTTCTGCACGGTAATAACTCTTTGACCTTGGACAAATTTCTTTTTATTTTATTTTCTTGGTACATTTTAGGTATAAAATATAATGACATTCATCATTGGAAATTTGCACCTTTACATAATCTCTCTTGGTTCTTATTTTTTCCCCCTTTCCCT